TCAAGTCACTGAAGCCCACAGACCGGTATTCCAGTATCAAGGAGCTAGGTATGTGCATAAACTGCTTCTCAAAATCACACAAAATTAAAGACTGTCAAGCAGGAGCCTGCAAAGTGTGTAACAATAAACACAACACAATGTTACATTTTGACTTGGACACTGAAAATCATCACATCATCGACCAACCTACAGAAGAACAATCAAACAATCATAGTACGTCTTTCATGACAACAACACTTGCATCACTAGGTGACAACCTTCAAGTAGTACTGCCCACAGCAGTGGTCGACGTAGAAGATAATGAAGGCAACAAGCACCAATGCAGAGTACTATTAGATTCAGCTTCACAATCTAACTTCATCACAGAAAACATGGCAGATAAGTTAAGATTGCACAAACACAAAACGTCTACCATCGTAAGTGGGATCAGTGAACAACAGGCTAACACTTCTAGCTCTGTCGTCTGCAAACTTCATTCTCAACACACAGCTTACAAGACTTCAATAGACTGCCTAGTTATTCCAAAAATCACCCATCACCTACCACGTATAGAGATGAACACGGACAACTGGCAGATACCACCATCATTAAAGTTAGCAGATTTTCAATTCAACACACCTGGTCCGATCGACATGCTAATCGGGGCCGAACTATTTTTCCATCTCCTGAACATAGGACAAATGAGGCTGCACCAAAATGGACCACTTCTTCAGAAGACATCTCTTGGATGGGTCGCTTCTGGAAAAGTTAAAACAAATCACAGTCCAACTCTACGTTCACACTGTCACCTCGCCGTCAGCAACTACGGATATATGTCTACACCTCATTCTGTCAACGCTACCAATTTAGGGAGATCAGTGGATCAGCAATGGAGATCACAAGCCTCCAACTTCCATCCTAATCAGCGGGCGATCATCAGAGATGACAACCGACACTTCACAAGTGGGAAACTGCGAGGTCCATTGACGTCCATCTCCAAGCCCAAAGCAAGGTCATGGTGGCCACAGTCAAGACAGCAACAGTGTCATCAAAACAGCTGTCAGCCACCACCGCACCATCACTATTGATCCTAGTGATATTGTGTCATGTGTCAACCAAAATGGTCAATCATAGTGAAAGTGTGTGATCAGTGTTGCACTTCATGTATATAGTGTAGCAATATTTCATGGTATTCTAGTTATAATCGTTTAGTCGTCTTATTTAAGATTTCAATTTAATTCATTACATATTCATTTATCAACAAAGGCTAGTTAGGATTTGTATCACGGAAAAATGTAAAATATCAATTTTTGCTATTATGTACCGGTAGTCATGTGTCAATATTGGATGTTTTAGATTCGCATCATTCAACATGTTTAGGATTAGTTAAACAACGTAGTCAATTTTTAATATTTGTGTAAATGTGTTTCTTTCTCTCAAGTTATTTGTTCAACAAATTGTTGCATTGTTGTTAAGTTTGTTTCATAATCAATGAATGTGTATAGTCATTTTAGTAATTCAATTTGAGCCTTTAGTACGAGTTTCATTTTTTGTTAATTGTAACTTCAAACTGCTTTAATTTCACTTGATGATCATTTTATAAATCGTATATTTGTATAGCGTTTTGCACATTATGTCATATTATTATAGCTTCATTAGTCTTAGTCTATAGTAATTGATTGATTAGTCTCCCCTTATAGTCAACATTCAAGGTTTTTATTTGCGTATCATCGCAATTGCCATTTTCATCGAATTGTTTGTAATTGCCCTTGTACTGTAATATATCAATTTTATTTAGGTTATAATCATTCAATATTTAAATAGTTGAAAGCATTCCCACTTTCAAGGGGGGAGAATGTTTAGTATCATGATTGTTAATTGTTTTATTTACGTTCTTAGTGTAAGTAATATTGTAAGTAAATAGTTAACCAATTCATATCACATGTGTTGTTAAATTCTAACGTACTTCCTGCTATTCATGTCACTTGTCGGCGTTAAACACAGTCATAAACATCGTCCTTCTGCGAAAGGACGGACCCTTCCTCACCAGTTCTTAGAAATCTGTAACCACATACTGAGTGAGGGAGGAGTCTTTTGTCAGTGTATCATCGAGCAACATTGTTCGTTTAGCATAGCTTCGTATAGGACGTGTGAGGCAGACCCCTCCACGTATTTCACATTTAGTTAAAACCTCATTAGTTCATTATAGCAATTTAGTTCATCACAGTTCAATTATACAGTCCACTAATATCAGTTGTTCATTAATACTTCAATAAATTCATAGTTCGTTTTTAAAGTGTCAGATCTTTTATTATTTACCAAAACATTGGCGCATCACGCGCCGCAACACCTATAAACAGTGAAAAATGCATAAAAACCTATTGGAGCCGAGAGCCGCAAGCGGTTGGCTCAAAGAAAACAAACTCAAGAAGCAGTTTTAAAGAGAATGAAATGTATAACCAGTATTTCCACTGATACGGAATTGAAAACTCCCTCCCGAAACAAAACTGGTTAAAAAACACGCTAATGTATAAATATATACTGTATATGCATAGGCCTATAGTAGAACCATGGAAAAAACATACTCCCTTAGTAGAATCTCGTTCAATACATGTGTAATGCAATAAACTGCACACTGTACTGTACTGAACAGTAATCAAATCACTGCGTAGTGCAATAAGCTACTGGCGTAGGGCAAGAGGCATTCGCATAGCAACTACTAGTACTGCCAAGTTCCTTGCACTAACCCCAACCCCCAACCCATCTGCTGTGAATTTCGGCGAACTGATGAGTCAACCCCCCTTCCCTCTACCCCTCCCTACACTGCTGTGGTCAAAACCTGTATAGTATATATATATATATATATAAGGGGGCGCTGCTTTTGGGTTTGCCCAGGGCGCCACTGACCCTTAACGCGGCCCTGGTTCCATGGCACTTTTCGGGAAAAAGACGCACAACGATATATCATTGCATAGCACTGAAAGGGTTAATGATTTAATGTAGAAATAATGTTATAATTTTATACCAGAATAACATTTTTTAAATTAAAAACATCACAACTAACTTAACAAGTGCAAAAAACCTAAGGACAAAAGTAAAATAACGCCAATAATAACAAAAGAGAAAATGTCACTCTAGTATTAAAAAGTTTATTAATGTTTATCACTGCGTAGTGCAATAAGCTACTGGCGTAGGGCAAGAGGCATTCGCATAGCAACTACTAGTACTGCCAAGTTCCTTGCACTAACCCCAACCCCCAACCCATCTGCTGTGAATTTCGGCGAACTGATGAGTCAACCCCCCTTCCCTCTACCCCTCCCTACACTGCTGTGGTCAAAACCTGTATAGTATATATATATATATATATATATATATATATATATAAGGGGGCGCTGCTTTTGGGTTTGCCCAGGGCGCCACTGACCCTTAACGCGGCCCTGGTTCCATGGCACTTTTCGGGAAAAAGACGCACAACGATATATCATTGCATAGCACTGAAAGGGTTAATGATTTAATGTAGAAATAATGTTATAATTTTATAACAGAATAACATTTTTTAAATTAAAAACATCACAACTAACTTAACAAGTGCAAAAAACCTAAGGACAAAAGTAAAATAACGCCAATAATAACAAAAGAGAAAATGTCACTCTAGTATTAAAAAGTTTATTAATGCTTCTGAATTCCTCGATCAAGATTTTTTTTAGAGTAAAGTATTTTCCCCCCCTAATTACAGTTGTATTACCAAGTCAGTATTGACACAAATAGGCTATAGAAGAAGAAAGAAGAAAGAAAGAAAAAGCGCTTTATTTCCAAAATACCCAGTGCACAATAATTCGTCCCACGCAGGAGACGTGCCTACGCGCTACAGCAATGACCTCTTGGTTGTCTGCCGGGTTGGCACGTCTAAAACTAAATCAAAACAGTTATTGGATTTCTTTTAAAATAAAATTATAAATCTTTCCTTAAACTAACAATTATGGCCAATATTTTAAAGTTAAGAAATATAATACAATCCAACCAGTTTCTCTAGTTATATCGGTTTTTTTTTTTTTTTTTTTAGAAGTTTGGAAGAGTACGATATTAATTTTTTTTTTTTTTATATTTTTTCCTCAATTGTTAAATTCTTGTATTAAAATCCACCTGTATTGCCAGGCATTTTTTAAATAATTTACTAACGCTCGCCAATCCCTGCCATTTAAAAAACTAATATAATCCCGTTCAGAAAGGACTCTATTGTGTAAAAATTTTAATCTAAGATTACTTAAAATTGGACAAATAGCGATGAAATGAAATGTGGTTTCAATTTCACCCATATTACAAAGAGAACAGAACTTATTTCCCGTTGACCAAGGTTTACCATTCAAATAGAGCAGCTCTGCCCTAGCCTTAATTATCCAGGAAACGAAGCTGACATCGGCGTTATCAGTAAGGTAGCTTCTATCGCCAAGTTCAAGGCCAAGGTCGAGGCTGATCAGCTGACTGTGGTGAATGGACGTGCGTGCGCGCCCTATACACTCTCCTATCCATACGTCACTCAGCTTTTCCACCACCGTCAGACATCTCGATTTTACCGCCTCTGATCCAAAATCTACATCAACCCCTACCTTCTCACCTAGCATCTTCCACTGTCTGCACCAATCTAAGTTTTGGTTTATAATTTGTTTGGCTAGAATAAAAGGAAGTCTATTATCGGAGAAATGTAGTACTTTTAATAGGTAATTTAAATTCGTAATCATATTATAAAAAAACAATTTTTTAAATCCACTTTCTAAATAAATCACATAGTTTGGCGTGTTATAAGGCAACCGGAAGAGTCTCTTTAAAAACAATTTTTGAACGGATTCTAGGAATTCAGATTCGAAGCAACCCCATACCTGAGCCCCATAACTAACAATTGATTTTATGATGGAATTAAAACACATAATTTTAGATGATAAAGGCACAGATTTATTATTGATTAATTTATTCCACACCGAGTTAATTGCTAATTTTGCTTGCCAATTAACTCTGTGAAATAAATTAATCAATAATAAATCTGTGCCTTTATCATCTAAAATTATGTGTTTTAATTCCGTCATAAAACATCATTTATACAAAACGCAAGAGTTATTTACTTATTTTGTCCGAAAAGTGCTAGGCTTGCCACGGAGGCAAAGTCTAGTGTGCGAAAAAAAATAATCAGTAAAAATCAAATTTTTCATCTCAAAAGTGCTAAGTGGTTCCATGGCACTTTTCGGGAAAAAGACGCACAACGATATATCATTGCATAGCACTGAAAGGGTTAATGATTTAATGTAGAAATAATGTTATAATTTTATAACAGAATAACATTTTTTAAATTAAAAACATCACAACTAACTTAACAAGTGCAAAAAACCTAAGGACAAAAGTAAAATAACGCCAATAATAACAAAAGAGAAAATGTCACTCTAGTATTAAAAAGTTTATTAATGCTTCTGAATTCCTCGATCAAGATTTTTTTTAGAGTAAAGTATTTTCCCCCCCTAATTACAGTTGTATTACCAAGTCAGTATTGACACAAATAGGGTATACAAAATGAGTCAAATCTAATTGTTTAGCTTAAACATTCTACATTTGATTCTGTAAATCTCAGAATGCAACGACAGAATCAGAGGAAGATTGCAAGGAAGATTCTCAAAACTGATTCCCTTGTCATTTCAAACAAAAACATTGAAAACAGTCAGTCACTGACGCAACAAACATTTGCATAGGTTATGTCTGAAATCAGTCACTGAACAACATAGATATCCACAAGTTGTGTCAAGCATAAACTCCACACAACTGAGATTCTTATCGGATAGGCTTGGGAGGTCCCAAAGACAATGTACTGGGGTCGCCGCGGCCAGAGTTAGACTGAGCAGGGTTACGGGCACTGTCAATAGACACTATAGGCATTCCGTAGATACCGTTGGGCTGGCCGCTGATCTGCGACAGCGATATGTAGTGGCGGATGCCTACACTGGCCAGCTTTTCAATCACACCTGTCAATAAATACAAATGCTTAAGGAAAAACAAATAAAAGTACCAAAATCCTGAAAGAAATAACACTTAGGCCGAATTTTACAAATTGGAATCTTTTAATGTTATTTTTGTTTCGTATTTTGACTACTATAGATACAGCTCTGTGTGGGGTTTCATTTGTAAATTTCCTGCTTTGGCTGGGTTTGTGTAACACGGTATTTTGTTTCGTTTTATGTCACCCAATTTCTCAGCTGAGGACACAATCAGATTTAAAATCCCAAAACGCATTGGAACCGTGCATCCTACCAATCTGCAAGCCTACCATCTCTGCAGTACTCATTTCAATAACAAACACTAATAGGTAGATATATAACATACCAGGCTTGTTGATATCCACTACAGGAGCTACCATTTCCGAGCCTTGCTGCTGGCCAGCATTGCGGTGATATGTCAGCTTGTGCTGGTCCAGTCCCTGCCGTGATGGGTACTGAGCGTTACAAAGGTTACATCTGTTGAGGAAAATACATTAAGAATAACATTAGCATCTCAGACTTCGGTGCGGGAGGGACGGGTTCAATTCCCGGATCCACTAAACATTTTATATGGGTTTGGACCGCTTTCCCTTAAAAGGGTTTGTAGCCTACTCACGTTGACTTCTAGTAAAAAAAAATGCCACTGGTGAAGGCAAAAACAAAAAAAAAACAATTTCCATATTTTGGGTTTAGGCTGTTGTTTTGAGCAAGCTACCTGTATTCCTATCTACACTATAGGCAATTTATAAAATTTTAAAATAGGTATGAAAGAACATTTTTTAGCCTACCTACTTTTTTTATTTTTTTATTTAAAGAGGTTGCCGGCGGCCTCTTTTAACCTTGCATTTGCCCGTCCCCATAGAATACAGATCTGTGTGTGGAACCTATATAGCAAAGCAAGGGGTGAGCCAGTACAGTATAAAGGTAAACTGTACTGATAAAATGTTTGCGGCAGTGACCAGAATCCAAACCCACGACATCGCTGCCTTGGGCCCGAAGTCTGTGACGCTCCAACTGAGCCACCGACTCGCCAAAACTATTTGCCTATAACTTAAGTTAAAACAAACATTTGAATTTATTAAAAGAGCGTGGGCTACCCTTTAAAGTTTTCAGGAGTAAGTTAATTTGAGCTTCACAGGCTTTTTACTTTGTGTTTGAGCAATATAGGCATCTGAATAGCTGGCTATTTATTTACAGTGAGTTTTTACTGCAGTAAATGGTCTGTAAACATCTAACTATTTTTTTTATTTCAAGATCCAACGAGCGAGGAGGGCTTAAAGGCTCTTTTGCTGATGAGATAACTTAGTAACTTAACCATTAATAAGTTTATTATATGATATTGAGATAAGTTAGCAAGAGATATCGTTGTAGCGTTCCTGACTTAGCCTACCTGAAAGGTAGTTTTCCTGGTGAACGATGCGTAGCCACATGTTGATTCAGAGTTTCTTGTGTTGCAAACACTTTGTCACATATCTGGCATGTGAACCTTGTAAATCTACCTCGCTGGCGAATCGCTCCTGGGTTACTCATGCCTGGCTGCATAATGGACACCTTACCTGTACTGAACATAATATGAGCTGAATGAACCGTGTAAAGTGCTGGGTTTTTATAAGGTTAGCCTATTATAACTGGTGATAGTGGTAATACCAATAATAATGATTTGTGAATTTTAATTTCAAGGATTAAACTCAACTTATAACTTCAGACAAAGCCTAAAAAATATGAATAGGCCTAGGCCTACCTATCTTACTGTATAAAGGTAAGTTATATATAGGCTATTTCTTCAGAATTAGTGTGTGAGGGTTTGACTTGGCTACCTATAAGATTCTAGGGTTTAGACTATGATTTAGGCCTAACTTAGATTGAACTTTAATTTTATGGGTATTACTACTTTAATAATGTTTTCCCTTAAGTTACTTTACGAATTAAAAAAAAATTATTAAAAAAATTGGTTGGTGGACATACACACACTGTACGTACAAGTAAGAAGTAAGTAAATGGTTTGTTTGCGGAGTGTATCTCAAAGAATCTATCCATTCTTTGAACTTACACCCAAGCTGTTACAGTTATAGGTATTCCTCTCCCACCTAGTTCTGCCACGGACCACTGATGGCCACTAAGAGAAGAAGAAGGTGGCTGCATTAGTTTACGTCCTACACTCATTCGAATGAAAAATATCGATATATATTAGATCATTCTATATATCAATTATTCAATTCGGTAAGTTAGGTTAGGTTAACCTAACTAATCAAACTTGATACCTATAAGTGAAATAATCGATATATTGATCAACATTTTCATTCCAATGATTGTAGGACGTAAACTAAAGTACAGCCGAGAAGGTTTACTTAGAAACTATGCAATCTGTTGATGCTGATTGAGAGGAGATATCATTTATCGATTTTCAAAGGCTAGGCACTGGTGTTGATCACAATAAGTTTAAGTTAGTAAGAAATGTGACTACTAGGCCATTTAACTTAACCAACTAGGCCTATTCATAAAATTTGAACTCAGAAGCTTCTGTCGTAGACCTTGATCTTGATAAAATTATGAATGATAGGTTAATTTTGCACGGCTAAAATTAATTATAAATACCCTAGCCTACCTCTAAAATTGTGTAGCCAGAAATTGGTAGTTTAAATTAGTTTTTTTTTTTTTACTAATACAGTAAATACAAAACACAGGTTCACTCATTCACAGAGCTCACAATACAAAACAATTCACAAACACAACAACAACACAACACAACCACAACCCACAACCCAGACCCGTACCAGTTGCCAGTCCCACCGGCCACCACATTCACAACACAAAATTAATATACAAAAACATTAAGTACCCCCGCCACAGCAGACCTGCAGACGAAGCGAATTTCAACTTGTCTGATTACATATTAAAATACTAATTTTACTAAAATATTTCCATAAATAAGAAATGAAATGAGATTTATTTTCCTTTAAGCACTGTACAAAATGCAATGGGCATCGTCAAAAAATAAATTGTCAATATATACAATCATTATACAAAACGACAAAACTTAACCTAAGAAAAACCAAGCACACAGCACGCAAAATAGGCTTATACTCACATTTGCTCGAATGTCAGGTAGCTCAAGAATCTGACTTTTTGAAAAAGAAAAAGTACAGAAAATATACAGTTTGCATCTTAACAAAGCACACCATGCAAAAAAACCATGCAGCTAACTATAAACCCAAATAAATAAAAAGAAAACTGCAAACATCACTCAAGTCTTAAAAAAAAAACTACTTATGTACATAAAACTCCTGGATTGAGAACAATGGGTATGTGCCAGCAACAGGTTTCTCACACATGAATGGAAGATTTTTTGAGACTGGTTCCCGTGTGCCTCTGTTGGCAGGTGATTGAATAACTTTAATATAGCGTCCTCCTGATTTGACTGAACTACTTTTAATCTTACATATGGGACATCAAATTCGTCCTAATTTCTAGTGTTACCGGTATGACATCTTTTCTACTGACTAAAGTACCTTGGCATTTTTTAGCTGTAAGCAAAAGCAGAAATACATATAAGCTCGCAGTCATGATGGCTTAATTAGAAAACAGTTGGTTTACTGTGTGCAAGGTAGTCAGCACCAGCCAGTAGGAGGCGTTTAGCCTTCTTCTGCCACAAGAGAACGATAACATCAGCAGCTCGACCCCACAATCGCAGTCCATACAGTATGGTTCCTTGGAAAAAAGCACTGTAAATGGTATGGCTTTGTAACTAAATAGCTTTAATTCCTAAGCAAACACATGATTCTAGATAATTTACGTACTACACACACCAGAAATATGAGAGGCTCCAAGTAAGTTTGCAATCAAGTGTTATTCCTAATAATTTCACAGGTTCACTGTTTGTAGCAACATGCTTTAGTGTAAAAACTATGGTTTGTGTTTTATCTCTGTTTAATAAAAAGTAGTTGGCCGGAACCAGTCTTCGGCTGCGGAATCTAGGGACCGCTTCATGGCGTCATTGAGATTCTCAAAATTTCGACTCTTGCATATGAGGGTGGTGTCATCTGCATAGCAAACAAAAACACCACCATCGATATTGTAACTGACATCATTCATCATAACCAGGAAAAGCAGGGGCCCAAGGACCGAGCCCTGCGGAACGCCATGGGAGATGGACTCTCTCCTGCGACTCAGTCCAGTCACAATCACAGACTGCCTCCTCTCCCACAGATAAGACCGCAAAAACTCCAAGGAGCCACCCACAAAACCATAGTGTTCAAGTTTAGACAAAAGGACCGAGTGGTCGACTGTATCAAAGGCCTTGCTGAGGTTACATAAGGTGGCCCCAACAAAGCCCCCAGACTCAAAACCATCCAGAGCCTCACTTACCATGCTATATCGACTGCATCTATGGTGCCAAGGCCACTCCTGAAACCAAACTGTGAGGAGGAAAACAGACCGTTGCTAACAAACACGCATGTAACTGTTCTTTAACAATAGCTTCAAAAATCTTCGAAAAATAGGAAAGTACCGATATAGGCCTGAAGTTCTCAGGAGAGTTTCTACTTCCTTATCCTTCTTATGTACCTATAGGTACAACCTTTGCTGCCTTGAGACAAGATGGAAAAACACTTTCAATCAAGCAGTTATTTATACAGAGGGTTAATGGAAATAATATATGAATAATAATTAACTTAACAAAAGAGCTGGATAAAGAGTAAATATCCTTACTCAAGGTGTTCTTCATTTTTCCAACAACTTTCGCCACATGGTCCGGGTCAACCAGAGTCTCCATGCGTGCAGACAGCCAGCCGCAGTTGGTGCAGGGTGAACATGTTCTCGAGGAGATGCTTCAGAGGCTCCAATACCATCTCTAGCCACCTGGACAGAGTCAATGAAATGGGAGTTGAACACATCAGGATCCACCAGAGTGCCTGTAGATTTCGGGGTAGCTGATTGTGACCTAATAACACCCCATGCTGCCGCACATTCATTGCTCGCACTCTCAATTTTGTGCATGTTGTATTCAAGTTTAGCTTGATTCAAGTCTTGTTTATGGCATTTCTTAAGATTATTGTAGTAACTCCTAGATTCCTGTGTTTTGGTTCTGTAAACATCATAGGCATAGAGTACCCTTTCTTCTTCTCCATAAGAGATTGATTCACCCATGATGGTAAAACAACTTTCTTGGACAGGTTTTGTTTTGTCTGAACAACTCTTTCCGGAAAATTTCATTAAAAATGTATAGAAAAAAGCATCAAAGTTGGATTCAGCATTTGTCCACAGAAGAAATATTTATTCCCAATTTAACGAGTGCTTAGGTTTGCTGCTACGGGGAAGTGTTTTTTGACCACACGTCAATAGTATAGGATGAAAGAAATAAATTTGCCAAATTTGATCAACATATATACATAAACAAGTTTATTACAACAGTTTTCATTTTATCCATAAGAATAACACTTGACTAGAATAACATGGAAATTTTAAATTTGCACTTTGTTGAATTTTTTTCTTAACTATTAGGCATACAACAATACTTCAACATACAAAATTATTTATTTTTTTAAGCTCTACAAAATGGTTGGGAAATAAATTCCAAAATTTTATGTTTTTAAAACCCATAAAACCCCGCCCCCATGGTCCGATCATGCTGGTTTGCGAACTCGTTCGAATAAATGTAGGTTTACACGTTTATACAAAATTTCATAAAAATCGGATAATTTTTGTTCAAGTTATCGTGCTAACGGACACATATATATACATATGAATTTGAACGGATGGTGTTTTTGGCCTCTGGGGACCTCAAAACAAAAAAAGTAAATCGGTCCCGCGTCCAGGTCTTACCATGAGACCTGCGGTAATAGTTTATTCCCTATATGGGAAATTCGCTAAAACAGCTGCACTTGAAAGGAGGTTACCTTCTGTAGAAGCCTGTATTCGATACAAATCTGTATTGGATTTGGCTGATCCACAATGATGACAAATGTATTTTAAATGTACAATAGATTGTAACAGTAACACAAATAGAGGAAAGGGAAAGAATATAAGCCAATACGTACCACAAATATTTATTTTGTATGTTTTTAAAACTGCTCTACAATTTTGTAACTTACTCATCTTAAACAAAATAAATTTAAATCAGTGAACTATGGAAATGAATAACTCAACATGAGCAAATTGTAACAATCAATATGATTTCAAGTTAAACTTTTTAATTTTTATTGGCTAGTATAATTGTAGACAACCAAAACAAATTGAAGTACATTTCTCTAAGCACTAGCTTAGATGGATAGTTTTAGATCTTAGTACAAGTTGTCTTGTTAAACATAGAAACAAATTTGTTTTAATCCAATCCTAAATACTGAGATCAACTTCCATTTGCTTCAATTCCTTTAAAAAATCATTTGTCCATGTACTCACATATTTACCTTTACCCTGAAAATGTGATCAGTTTCCAGGCTCTTATATACTTTGAGATAATAAAAACCACTCCAGAAATTAGATGATAGTCGGAAAGAACAATTAACAAAAAATATCTAAGTGTTAAATACTGCTTACTATCTATCTTAAAAACAGTTCTTCATCCATGGTAGATTATGATAGTAACAGATTCATCCTTTACACAAGTAAACAGCATAAACCAAAACCAATCTGTTTCTATATCCTATTATTATAATCGGAAAGATGATTGCTCTAGAGAGTTTAAGTTCATGTCTAAAGAAAATACAACACTTGTCCATAAATTAAGGTCTCCAATGAACTCTATCGCAACCATGCAAGCTAACTGTTATCTGATGCCAGCAGCCAGCATGTGTTCTTTACTTCACCCTCTACAATTCCAGTTGGTTCCCAACCCTATGTGACGATTACCGTAGGGATGAGTCTCGTCTTAGTGATGGATAAAAAAGCTCCTGTCAAGTAAGAATCACGTTCATTGATTAGAGTTATGTATTTAAGAGTATATAAAAAATTAACTCTTTGCAATTATCCTCAACGGTTCCAAGTTATTAATTTGACTCTTAATTTTTGACGGCATCGGTGCTGTAACATCTCGAGTAAAAAAAGGGAAAATCTTCGGTTTCACTATTTATAAACTATTGTTTTCATTAAATCATCTTGTTTCAAAGGAACACTTTTACATGAATACATGTTAACTTGATTGTAAACTTGACTAATGACTGCACCAGCTCAAGGCTGGTAAAAATTATGTTTATATTCTTTTTTTATTTCTTCTCAGACAGACTATTGTTTTCTTTCACAGACTGAGCCAAAAGTTATGAAGATTTTGTTTGGTTCTGTTTTTGATCAGGGCGACACCCTATACTTACATAGAAAAAGGAAGAAAAAAACTGTTACTAACATAATTTTGGAATAGTAATAGTTCTGAATACATTGTCTAAATAATATTTTGTCTTTAAATCATCAATAAAATTATATAAAATAAAGAGTTCAGTCATGAACACCCTTATTATATGCTATGATCATAAGATATAGACACATATCTTTACACCTAATTTACAAACTCTATAGAAAACACATTGAACAAAGATAATCTTATTTACGAAAGCTTCCAGGTACTCTTGCTTACAAATTAGTTAAAAAAAACCTTATGGACAGATTGAAATGCAAAATTACACTAAGGGTATTTCTTAAAAAACATCAAACTATTATGTTACTAAGGACTATCAGCTAAAAATACAAATTTAACACAAAAAGTAAGGAAAATTTTAAATTGAAGTCCATTGTAAACTTGGTACAAAAATACATAAAATATAATTTAAACCCATTGCATTTTTGAAAAACTCAAAAGCTTAACATATTTTTGTAGAACAAACCCAATTTGATGATAAGTTTGATGAAAACAGGCAAACTTCTATGGTACATTAATATACTTTTAGCCGAGAAAATGTAAAAACAAGTTTTGATTGCAATAATTGCCATCTGAGAATATTTGTACTAGCAGTGAAGTAGGCCCTGCACGTGGTACTATATGTATAGACAAACTTCTTTCATGTAAAATCCATGTAAATGGTGCCACACATATCTGTGGTGTTCAACTACTTAGTTTAGGCTAGGAATAGACACTGAATATAAAGATATATTCTCAATAGAAAATTTTATAAAATAAACAACATTGTCTGTATACTGTTTCTATACAATTCTTAACTACACTTAGGTTATATACTTTTGATATATATACAAAATTAACAAAGCACAACTTATACTAAAGGTATTTTTTACAGATATTTTACTTGAATGATTTTTAACATACTCTTGGCCACGCAGAGGTATTAAATCCTTCAAAGTTTTTTTTAAACATCAATATTTCATCCAACCAACACAGAGGTGATGGGGAATTTTCACTATGATCCTAACAATAAGTCATTATTAACATAGGCAACTACTTGAGGGGAAATTTCCTCTACTGAATACTGTAGTTATAAACTCCAACTCACTCAAAAATCCAACAATTTCGTTGGAACATTGAATTGAACTCTTAATCTTCTTGCCAATAGAACTCCCTGCAGTGACATTTAAAATCCCTAAATCAAACTAATTTTGGATAAAGTAAGTTGGTTTGAATAATAAAACTTATAAAAATGTAATAATAATATACATTTTAAAATTGTTATTTAATTTCATGTTGTCTACAACAAATAATAAAGGTTTCTGTTAAAAATCGTTCAAGGTATTGTACAAATAAAAAATAATCTATAAAACCCAAATCACCAGGTTATATCTACAAGGTACTTACAGTGATGTATTAATTGGAAGCTATTACATAAACACCACAAAGAAACATATAGAGGACGGTAAACTAAAACTGAATATAAGGATCTATACAGAAAAAACAAAAGTAGGTGAGTTTTATAAATGTGGCAAACTTTCTCAAAGGATAAATAGTTATTTGTGCAACTAGTGAGCAAAGTGAGCAATTGCCTCACTCGAGAGAAATCCTTACTCACAAGCCGTAGGCGAGTGAGGAATGGTTTCTCGAGTGAGGCGATTGCACTTTGCACTCGAGTTGCTTATTATACAGTGTGTAAATTAAGTATGGAAACAAATCTGTATTTTTAAAACCGAAATAGATGGAAACATTCTATTTGTGGCAATAATAGTTAACAAAGATTCCGCAATTTTTCACATGAAAAATATTTTTTTACCCCCCTAACAGGGTAGGTGGTAGGGGGTGACTTATTTTTTTTCAAATAGCAACCCCTATTGAGTGACCTCTCATTTTGAAGGGTTTGTCAAAAGAAACACAATGACGCAAATTCGAAGTGAATATCTCACTCCTAGCCCAAATGGCGGATATTCCAAAATTTGATTTATTGTACGTGAAAAGCACCAATTTCACAAATAATGGAAAGAAATCTGTATTTTTAAAACCGAAATAGATAGAAATATTCTGTTTGTGGAATTGATTGTTGACATAGGTTCCGCAATTTTTTTTAATTAACAATATTTTTTCAACCCCTTTAACAGGGTAGGGGGTGGGAGTGACTTATTTTTTTCAACAACAACCCCTATTGAGTGACCCCTCATTTTGAAGGGTTTGTTAAAAGAAAAAGAATGACGCAAACCCGAGGTAGATATTTCACCCCTAGCCTAAATGGTGGGTAATGAAAAATTTAATTTTTGTAAAAAAAGCCCATTTTGGAATATCCGCCATGTTAGCTAGGAGTGAGATATTCACCTCGGATTTGCGTCATTGTGTTTCTTTTAACAAACCCTTCAAAATGAGGGGTCACTCAATAGGGGTTGCTATTTGAAAAAAATAAGTCACCCCCTACCACCTACCCTGTTAGGGGGGTAAAAAAATATTTAGCATGTGAAAAATTGCGGAATCTTTGTTAACTATTATTGCCACAAATAGAATGTTTCCATCTATTTCGGTTTTAAAAATACAGATTTGTTTCCATACTTAATTTACACACTGTATTTTTCCTACAGTTACCATAAAACAAATAAATTGGTAAAGAAACGTGCCTTCACGTTGCAAATCTGGAGTGAGACAAAGTAATTAGAGTGAGACAATGTTAACATTGTGTCACTGATGAGCGAATTGGCCACTATGCTTTCTCAAATCAGTGAGAGAACATGTACATTGTTAAGGTACGTTTTGCTTGGACAGCAGTCGCTGGACACTGATCTTAGGGGTTTTGCATAGTCCTGTTTTGCCTGGAGCTACTGTCGCTAGAGCCGCGAGCTGCAGTCGCTGGGTACTGTTCCAAGACCAGTCCCCAGACCAGTCAAGACCAGTCATGACAAAACGTTTGCCCGTGCCGCGTCGTGTGGGAACTAGTTCCAGTTTTTTATGTTAAATATATTCGTATCGTATCCGTCAATGTCTTGTAACTTATTTATTTAAATTTTAGTGTTTTGTGTGTTTATAAAACTCAACGTTTTGTCTTATAATAAGACGTTTTGTCTTGTTTTATTGTTTATTTTTATAAACTCGTTTTGTCATGACAAAACGTTTGCCCGTGCCGCGTCGTGTGGGAACTAGTTCCAGTTTTTTATGTTAAATATATTCGTATCGTATCCGTCAATGTCTTGTAACTTATTTATTTAAATGTTAGTGTTTTGTGTGTTTATAAAACTCGACGACCTCGCAAGAGTGACAAGAAGCCTGATGATGAGGTTATAACCTCGAAACCGGTAGCTCATACTACAAATTAGGATCACAGACAGAAACAGGTAATCTTATACCATTTTAATTTTCAAGAAGTGATCCTGGACCAAATAACATCATTATGAAGTGTCATTTGTAAATATATAAAATGCCAATTATTACAGTAATGTGGTAAGAAGAGGCTATTCAAATATTAATGGAGTATAAAATGTAATTGGTATTTTTTTCATTCACAATACAATCAACAAAATATAATTTTCACTCTGTGAGGAGGTTGTATAACACTGATTTCGAGTTAATTATGCTTGTGTGATGCAATTGAGAGGAGAAATTGAGTAATTTTATTACATTTTTGCTTGTGACATGGCAATTTTGGAATGTTTCTCATAACAAATCACTATAAAGAATACTTAATTGTTAAGTAATTAACAATTACTTAACTAAGTGAATTTATCAAATTTATTTGGTGAGTTTATACTTAGTGCGCAATTTTGAGGTTAGGTGCACTGACGATACCACGTCTGGGTGACGCCAGGAAGAAATTGTCGCTCCAAGCAAAACAGTCTACCGGCCCGCGACTGCCGCTCGGCGACAGTCGCTGAGCGACGATCGCACCTGTCGCTCCAAGCAAAACGTACCTTTGGGTAACTGTAGGAAAAATCAAGTTTTTCTTCACTATCTCATCCTATATTAAACATTATTATTATTCCTTCGTGAGCTTATGAAAGTAAAGAAAAGGTTTTATACCTTTCCATTTAAACAGGCCTGTTCTAAACTACCTGGATTAACCCAATCTTCCAGAAAATGTTCAAGTCTTTGAATGTAAACTGCACTTATCAAATCTGAAGGTAGTTTGGTGTGTGTGTTACGGTCAACGTTTGCGTCTACACACACGTTTGTGTTCCTTCTGCCAGTGTAGTTGTTGACAATCTATGCTGCAATATGCTGTGTTCCAACAACAGTGGTAGATGGCTTCTGACTCGCAATTGTAACACTGCAACAACACAAGCAAGGCCCATTTAACTTGAAGCAAAAAATAGGTTTGTTAAGCCTCAACAATGGAGGGAAGGAAAAAGATGTACGGTTCATGTAGTGCTGTGATACACTACCACTAACTACTCTATTAAATATTCCAACTCCACATTAAAATTGCAGCTAATTTCACAACAGGAATGAATATATAAAAAAAAAAATAGTTTTGGTAACAAACCCACAGAATGTGAAGATGCAGATGTGAGATGTTTACTTCTTAAAAACTGGTTTTAGCGAATTTCCTATATAGGGAATATAAGCGAATTTCCTATATAGGGAATAAGCTATTACCATAGGTCTCATGGTAAGACCTGGACCCAGGACAAATTTACTTTTTCGTTTTGATGTCCCCTGAGGCCAAAAACACCATCTATTCAAATTCATATATATATGTCCGTTAGCACGATAACTAAGGCAAAAATGACCCAATTTTGATGAAATTTGGAAAAAAAACTTATAAACCTGTCTATTTGAACAAGTTTGCGAACCAACATGATCGGACCATGAGAACGGGGTTTTATGGGGAATTTATGTGGTAAAAATAGGTTTTGTTTTCTCACCCTTAAAAACATAAAATTCCCCATATCTCTATAGAACAAAAATTTTTAGAGCTTAAAAAACAAATAGTATAGTATGAGGTTAAGGGTGTAGCATAGAGCACAAGGGCCTAGATTTTTTAGGATTTTTTGAGAGGATAGCAGGCTTACCTGAATGGGAAAGAGTCCAAACTGGCACAGGAAACACAAAACAAAACTTAACACTATATACACAAAAAATTAGAATATTTCACTGTCACTGAGGTAAGCCTGCTATCCTCTCAAAAAATCCTAAAAAATAGTATAGTATATTGAAGTGATTTTGTATGGTTATTGGTGACAGATAAAATTCAAAAAATTGTAATTGCTGCAGGTTTTCTGCGCCTGGGGTTATTTTTAATAGTGCCAATTTTTGTAAAGTCTTTAGCGGTATTTTTTGGTGGTAAAAATTTAGCGTCTTATGTATCTCTATCAACCTTCATAGTATAAACAAAAAGAGAAAAAAAAACTTCTATAGTAGCATACTCAAGAAACTCATTAAACTAGGTAATTAATTTAAAAAAAAAACTTGGTCTATAATGATGAGAAGTCTACCTACTAGCACTAAATAGTAAATGAATATCATATCTCTGAATACATATTCTTCATACATTGTATACATATTTCTGAAGTAGTTCTATACATATTTAGTTAATATCTTATTCCTATTTGTTTGACAGATAACAAACAATAGCTGACCAATAAATTTCACTTACCCACTGTTTCTTCTTGATTTCTGTCACATAAAGCTTGTGTTTTTCTTCTAAAGAGGCAATTTCAGCAGCATGTTCTGTTTTTAACTTCTCTATTTCTTTGTCCTTCTCTTCAACAACTTCTTCACGAATCTGTAAATAACCGAAAACCTGTTTGAAATAACTTTGATTTTAGGTAACAGAAACGATTAGATATCAATGATTTTAAAGAATCAATTTCTTTCCTGAACCAACATTTTTTTAATACAGACAATAGATGATACACAAACAAGAAATACATTTGCGTCAAAATACATAATAGAATAGAAAGTGGTTTGTCGTCTTATTTCCAAACCATTAATGATGAACCATTTTAAGGTAAGAAGATTTTGTACTAGCGTAGGATTTCTTCAGAGAGAACAGTACACCTATAAAGAGGAAATGATTCAAGTAATTTTAACCGACTTTCTGAAGTAGTTCTATACTAAACAAAATTTCAGTTATAGAATATCTGACCTTTAATTGTGTGACTATAAGCCCCTCCATTAAAAAAATTATAAATCAGTCAATTGGCTTTCCCTTCAAATAATTCTGATGTGAATCTCTCCAAGAAGAAACTGACCTTGGCTATTTGTTCCTCCGATGGCTGACTCGATGTTTCCGGAACAGTCTTCTTAGGCTCTGGCGTTGGTTGCGGCTTTGTCTGGACAGCCACAGACCTAACCTGCGGCTCTTGACAAGACGAACTCACCATTTCTTCTTCTTCTTTCTGCAAAAAGAATTTTTTAATTAAAAAACAATAAAAATAAAAATACCCCCGCCGCAGCAAACCCACAGATTAAGCGAATTTCCATTTTTCTGGCTGGACTTATACTAAAATATTCCCTTAAAATTGTCAGATTGATTTCCGAGTGCAGGGCTGAGTGCCATTTGCTTAAAAACATTGACGAGGGTCATTGTACAGCCTGAGGCTTGGCGGGGCGAGTGCCTGGCCGGTTACAGTTCGGCCAAAGTTTCTGTTCACTTGACCAGATCTAGTTGGGTCTAGGCGAGGGGGTTAGTGGGGGTACTTTTGTGAAAACATTTGTGTCTTGCTACTCACTCAACCCTACCTCCAGCACTGCCAATAACCAAAGTTTTGCACAGAAGTTTTGGCCGAACTGTGTCAGTGACCGGTTCCAAGGTGCCGCGGGTATGGGGGTGGAAAGATCGACCAGGGGGGGATGAGCGAAATTTGTTTAGGGATGAAATGAAACTGATCCTAACATTACCTAACTAAACTTGCCGATTATGAAAAAATTGTATGAAGGTTTAATAATCAAATCTATATTAATTTCCAATCGATATTTAGGGTAGCCTAATTAAGAAACTGTACCTGGTCTTCCTTACATCCTGCCCACTACTCCCCTATCTGACGGTTTTGACCGTTTATTACCCCAGAAGCAAAGAATAGAACGACACTCACTCTGTTTCCCTTTATTTCCTATTTAAATAAAATTAATTTTAATGAGTACTAAGGTTTGCTGCTACAGAGAAGATATTGAGGTTTTATTATTATTATTATTATTATTATTATTATTATTATTATTATTATTATTGAAATGTTGATATGCCTAGCTTAGTATGAAATAAACAAAATTTGATTAAAATATATCCTTAAACAACTAAACTAAAAGAGTTTATTTATTCTCAATAAGAATAAAATGGGAATTTTAAATTTACAATTTTTTTAATTATCTCCGTAACCGTTAAGCATACAACAACGCTTCAATATACAAAATTATTTCTTGAATATGAATTAGAACAGAGCGTGTTTTTGGCCTCTGGGGACCTCAAAACGAAAAAGTAAATTGGTCCCGGGTCTAGGTCTTACCATGAGACCTACGGTAATAGCTTATTCCCTATATAGGAAATTCCCTAAAAAAATCAACTTTTATTATAGAATTATAAAAAGTTTATGATGAAACTTTATTAAACTAAATGAGGATTTTACAATTAAAAAAAAATTTTTCTATGGATCTGGTTTAGTGCAATACATGAGTAGGCTTACATAGGAGCCTACATTTTCTTTGTAATTGACACAATAACTTGCTATGAATTACAAATCCAAAATTTCCAGAGTTTTGTCTTTTATCCAAGAATCCTTTTGTCCAAGAAATTATAGAACAAAATAAAAATATATATATATTACTACTGAGTCTTACAGAATGATAGAAGCAATATTTACAATAAGGAAAATATACAATACAGTAGGCTCACGCTCATCCGGATCGGCCTTGTCCGGACTCCCGGTAGTCCGGATTGACAATCGTGATTTTTTTTAGCGGCCCAGTACAGTAGAAATCCGATTATCTAAGTGAAACGGGACCGAGACTACCTTAAATAATGAAAAAAATCGGATAACACAGCGGTAAAAATTATTACCGGTGGAAGTGCATATGCCCGGGCTATCATTACTGTGGACCTGGAACAAAATTCGGACGAAAAAATTATACCGGAAGTGCATATGCCCGGGCTATCATTACTGTGGACCTGGAACAAAATTCGGCCGAAAAAATTATACCGGAAGTGCATATGCCCGGGCTATCATTACTGTGGACCTGGAACAAAATTCGGCCGAAACAATTATTACCGGTGGAAGTGCATATGCCCGGGCTATCATTACTGTGGATCTGGAACCAAATTCGGCCGAAACAATTATTACTGGTGGAATTGCATATGCCCGGGCTATCATTACTGTGGACCTGGAGCAAAATTCGGCCGAAAAGATTATTACCGGTGGAAGCGCATATCCCCCGGGCTATCATTACTGTGGACCTGGAAAAAATTCAGCCGTAAAGATTATTACCGGTGGAAGTGCATATGCCCGGGCTATCATTACTGTGGACCTGGAACAAAATTCAGCGGTAAAGATTATTATTATTGTTGGTGAAAATCTCTCCAAAATAAATACATAATTTATTTACTACAGACAATTCCCTGTGCTTACCTTACTGGCCACCAGAGGAACACTGGTCGACGATATTTCCACTTTCTCTTCCAGCTTAGGCAAAGGATCGTCCAGATCAAGTTTGACAATGTTCTCTTTACTATCCTCTTCCAGTTTTTTTCTTAACTCCTCTTCGTCCTTTTTCCTCTTCTTCTCCTCAAACTCCTTTTCCAGTTTCCGCTGCATCTCTATTATCTCCTTCTTGATGAGCGAGTCCTTGTTCTTGGAACCAGGTGGTCGCCCCCTCCGTCCTGGAGTCTTGTTGGGCGGAGGAGTGCTTCTCAGCGGCCGTTTTACGGGGGAAACTGACAGAGCTTTCCTCCCGAGTCTTTTTGCGAGAGCTAACGGAGGCCTTCCTCTTCTTTTACCTGAGTTAAAATTTCAAAATAAATTAAGTACGGTAACAAGTTTTGACAAATAATTAACAAGCCATAAATTAAGAAAATGTAATTGAGCCAAATGATAAACTAATGATTGATATGTGTTGATGTTAACTTTGCACCTTAAAACACAATATTCTTATTCTGTGCTAATCTAACCACCCACTCATATTTGGGTTAAAATATGCAGCAGTGGCGTTCCTATCTCAATTGATTGATTAATTATAATTGGCATGCTAAATTTCCTTTATTTTCTGAAAAAAAAACTTTGCAAAAGTTGAATTCATCTTATATAAACATATAATTAATATTTAAACTGATAATTAAGAAGCAAGGCTAACAAGAGAATGTGTTCAAAGGGTGTAGGCAAATGTTTCATACTCATTAAGTTAAAGCAAAGGTAAAAGTTTCTAATTTGTAAAGGTTGACTTTTAATGAGTTTTTCATAAGTTAAAAGTGGATAAAATGTATAAAATTTTCTTTAATCATCATAACCATCTATATATTATTATTAATTAATAATTACGTAAGCCGATTCTTTGTATCAAAATTGTGGGCGACTGGGAAGTCGTAGAACGATGGGAGAGGTCTCAAATTAAAGGTCTCGATCCCGTGACAACGGGAAAAATAGTGAAATTCCCATAATTGTAACACAAAATTAGAAATAACGCAAAATTTTCTCCATAAGAATAGCATTAGAAGCCATTTACTGCTGATTTTTGTTTACTTTAATACAGCTGATCGTGATTTATCATTAAGCCAGTAAGCAATATTACATTTGGATTACTCATTAGACAGTCAATTCTGCAATGTACTGTATACTATATAAAACCACGGATAACGTTACCAATAGTAATTAAGACATTTTAGTTACGTATTAGAAAGTTGAAATAAATTATTTTACTGTGAAACCGTATGATAAGTAGTAGAATCATGGGAGCTGGCTCAAATCAAAAGAATTGAACTTAAAATGGCTGAATAAGCTATAGAAGTTTTTCTTCTTATTTAAAGGTTATTGTTGTCTTAGAGGAATGTTTTACATGAAATAACCACATTGACAAAATAATTAACGATTTAAGACTAAATGGAAAACTTCTGCTTTGTTAATCCGTTATTGGGCGGAAAAACAATGTTGTTTCAGGCCGAGGGAGATTTTTAATAGGTACTGTCTGTTGCTCCATGAAAAAAGGTTCAAATAATATAGCATAGCATTTATTGTAGGCCTATATAGTACAGAGAGCATCAGTATATAACAGTAAAATCTAGAGATAGTTTCCATTTATTTACGTTTCTCAAGCTAACCAAAAATATGCAAGTTAAACCAATGCAAGTTAATAGTTGATCAAAAGTAATTTTGTTAGGCCTATTGGTTTCGATAATTGTGTAAAGGAACCCTAACCAGTCACAAAATATTTAGGAATCAGCCGATTATTAGACCTATTTTGATAGAATATGTGTCAATATGGTCAATCGCACCTTTAGGTGGAATACCAGCACATAAACTTACACTTATTGTATTTTCCTACAGTCACCCGACAAAGTTGGCTTCCTTTTACTGTTTATAGTACAGAAAGCTACTAATTGCTGCATATTTATACTTTGTCGTACGGTTTATACTTTGGCGCACATCAGGATTCCAACAAAACACCACAAAACAGCGTGGTTCTATTATGCACGTAATCCGTGTACGCTTGGAAATAGGTTGGCAACACTTAAAGATAATAATACTATGAGCAGCTGATTGACTATTATAACTAAGATATAACCTGTCATTTTGTGTTTATAGTTTCGGTATTTCTGAACTTTCTGGAATTTTCTTTTAAACGTTTTTAAAACATTCCTACGATCTTAATAAACAAGAAAATACCTTTCAAGCATTTTTTAGGCGCGGAAACCACTTCAAATTACAAAAACATATGGAACTATATTCTCAAAATGCGGAGCACATTTCTTGCCGAGGAAACATAGCGGAGTGATACGGACCGGGTACTACTTTCTCTAGGGCACCTATTTGTGTTGCCAGCTGAACCTAAAAACGTGTTGTATAGTGTTTGAAAGACTAATTATTAATATGCTTTATAGTGACTGTAGGAAAAATATAATGTGTAACACGAGTGCAAAAGGCCTTTGCTGCACTCGAGATCATTCCGCACGAGCCGCCTAGGCGAGTGCGTAAACATTGCTCTTGTGTGCAGCAAAGTGCCACTTTGCTCACTAGTTACACAAATAACTATTTTTTATTTTGATCAGAAACAAATCTAGGGTTAAGTTTGGTCAATGGGATGCCTATAGTGTATACACTAATTTTGTTAAACCTTTATAAAAGGAGTATAAACTTAGAAATAATAACTGGGTTGGGATGCTTTAGTGGTTTTGACCGAGAACTAAGCTTATCACACACCTTTATTTGCCTTTTCATATTTGACAAAGACAATTTCCAAAATATAACGTCAACAAAAGCAAACAAAGACAAACAAAAAACTTGTTAACACAAAAGATATGGTGTACATGTATTCTGACACATAGAAAATATAATTCTTACAATAATTTGTTTTACATTTGAGCGCTTTAGGGATTTATGTCCCTACAAGCCACTAGTAATCCTAATAATCATAATCATGATAATTTATAATAACAATTTATTCTACTAATAAATTATTCACAAATTTAACTACTTTCAGTACATGACTATAGTATGACTTTTGTTGTTGTAACATAACATGTCTACTTCTTTCAATTGCTCCTGCTACCTATCTTTTGTTGCATTTCTATGAAAACAATTGTTGACCCGGTATCAAATGGACAAATAGGTTACAACCTAATTGTAAAGACAGATTAGAAGCTTTTTACTCAATACATTCTCCCGTTAAACAATGAAGTTTTAAATAAACTTGCCCCTTACCCGATGGTGTTTTAGCGACTGACGAGGGTAGACTCTTGCTAGGAATCTTCTGAAACTTCTTGGCTACAGGAATGATGACAGGTTCTTCTTCACGTTTCAACCGTTTCATCAAAGGCGCTTCTTCATCATCTTCTGACAAGTCCGACATGTCAGACTCTAGTTTTACTCTCTCTCTTTCACTCGATCTCTCTCTTTCTCGTTCTCTCTCCATCTTAGGTGGTTCTACATCCTCATCTTCCTAAAAGATAAAATAGTGTTTTAAATAAACTTCTTCTGACATTTATCCACATACATTCAACCAGCTCCTTAGTTCACGTATCACCAGCAACTTGTCAACCAGTATCAAATGTTGTTTATTGTGTATGCCCATTGTGTTCCAACGTTATTGTTACTTTTATTTAAAATTTCTGACAAACTCCATCATGAGGGGTTTTCAAATAGCTGACATTCTAACCTCAAGATATGATTTATTTTCCATAGCATGCCACAACTGTAATCAATTTATAATAGAACTAGCACTGTGCCCGTTCTATGGACAGGGATCTTATGCAGTTAGTAGTCAGTTGAAACCCTATTATATTCAGAACAGCAATTTTTGTTCATACCAATTTGGGCTTTTTCAGATATGCAGGCAAAACTATTATACACATAACCGCCAAAACACAATATTTTACAGGTTTAAGGCAAATCAAATGGCTCGAAAATAAATGTTACACGGACGGCCATCTATCATTTTCATTCTATATTTGATATCCGACAATAAAAATAATACAGCAGCTTTAGAGATCTTTGATTTTTTTTTTTTATGGGGAGGAGGTAAAAATGCATTTACGCACACTGAGGTGCTCAATGGCCACTCAGTAGTGCCGGACTCCCGCGGGCTCATTGTCCCCAGACTACCGGCTAAAAAACCCCCTCGTCTCCTAGGACACTAGCCTGGAACTGTTTCGCACATTACTTCAGGCTAGGCCTTTTATACTACGCCCCTAGGGCTTTCCTTCTGGTTTCCTCAGAAAACTAATGCCGATCGAGATCGACCTTCTTATCCCGAAGTATGGCTTCAACGAACTGCTTTACACAGTTCCAGTTTCCTTCCCCCTGTATCATAGCTCCAACGATGTTGTCGGGAGTAATGTCGACGCCGATCTCGGAGATCAAGGAGGCTCGGCGGACATGCCACCTGTCGCAGAAGAAGAAGGTATGCTCAGCCGTGTCTGCAATGCCTGGACAGTACATACAGTCCGAGCTGGCAGCCTTCCCCATTCTGTGCAAAAAGGCCCGAAAGTACCCGTGACCCGAAAGAAATTGAGTCAAGTAGTACCCAACCTCACCATGCTCCCGTTCCACCCATGGTCGGATGCTAGGAATGAGCCTGGCGGTCCAACGTCCCCGAGACTCGGCTTCCCATTCACGCTGCCAGCGGTCGAAACTGCGGTTGCGTTCTTCTCTGGCAGCATTCTCTCTATCTACTTCAGGTCTCCTGCGGTAGATCGCCTGTCGCTCCCTCGCGAGATGAAAGACGGGGATGACACTGGCAATCACCATGACTGCAGGCTCGGAAACCGTGCGGTAAGCGGAAGCAACTCGCAAGGTACCTCGACGCTGAACACGGGAGAGCCTGTCACGGAAGACACGCTTCTCCAGCACGTGGGCCCAGATTTCAGCGCCGTACAAGAGTACTGATTGGACGGCAGACATCAGTAGGCGGCGTTTGCAGGAGCAAGGGCCGCCGACGTTTGGCATAAGCCTACTAAGGGCAATAACTCCCTTAGCGGCTTTGTCAACAGTTCGCTTTATCTGCTCGCCGAAAGACATTTTGCTGTCAATCATAACACCAAGGTATTTGGCATACGGCTTGGTCTCCAATTGGGCATGGCCTACTTGCAAAGGAAGGACGGTGGGAATTCTTTTCTTGGTTAGGATCACGATCTCTGTTTTTTCAACCGCCAACGATAAGCCGTGGTCCCGCATCCACTCGTTGACACGGAGCATCACTATACCAAGTTTAAGCTCTGCTTCTTCAACGGTTCTAAGCAGACTGTCGTAAGACACGTTCCAGAGATCAGGTCCAAGGATTGATCCCTGTGCAGCCCCAGAAGTGACAGAGATCCGACGCTGACCTTCGCTGGTGTCAAAGAGCAGGACGCGGTCTGAAAGGTAGGACTCAATCATTCACAATATGTAAGGAGGGACGCGGAATGTGTGCTCGAGCGCCTGTAGCATGTCACTCCACCTGGCGGAGTTGAACGCATTCTTCACGTCAAGAGTGACGAGGAGAACTAAGCGGCGCGACCAATGACTGTGGTTCTCCGCACTCCGCACTGCCCCAACTACCTCTTGGATGGCGTCAATGGTCGAGTGACCAGAACGAAAACCATGCTGTTGCGGGGACAAATAACCCGCAGAGACGATAGCCTCGGTCAGTCTGACACGAATTAACTTCTCCATCACTTTGCCAACAGTGTCAAGCATACACAGTGGGCGGTAAGAGGAGGGGGTTCCCGGTGCACTCTTCGCCTTGGGGATCAGGACGAGGCGAGCCACCTTCCACGCCGTCGGGAAAACGCCGTCCGCCAAACAGGAGTTGAACATATCCAACATAAGCTTTGGATTGTACTCAACGACGAGCTTGAGGATTTCCGCAGGAATGCCATCAGGACCGGGTGCTCTTTGATTCCTGAGGGATCGGACAGCGGAGGTAAGTTCCTCTTCCCGAAAGGGTGGGAATGTGCCAAGATTCCTAAATTCTCTAGTTGGTCGCACTGGGTGCTTTGGAAACAACGAGTCAACGACAGCAGCTATGGCAGTAGGATCCATGACCACAGGTGGTGAACGAGTCCCTAGCTTTTGGGTTACTATCTTGTAACCCGTCCCCCAGGGGTTGTTGTCGACGTCCTGACACAGTTGCTTCCAGCACCTGACCTTACTCCGGTTGATTGCACCACGAAGATCTCGCCTGGCAGCCTTGTACTCTGCCGATCTGGCATTGGCTTCAGGCCGGTTTCTGGCACGCTGCGCTGCTCGTCGGAGGCTAAGGCATCTTCGCCGGAGTTCCGCAATCTCGGGTGTCCACCAGTAAACTGGCTTCTTCCCACGACGGGCAGAAATCCTGGGCATGGAACAGCCGCACGCCAATGAAATGAGTAGCATTGTCGACGTGGCACGAAATTCGGCACTTCCGATGTCCCCAACAGTTTGATCCCCGATACATCCCCGAAAGGTGTCTCGGCAAAGACGACCGAGGTTCCAACTTCGAGGCAGGTTGGCCGAGTTGGCATATGGACGCCTACGCTCGGGAAGCACCCCGAAGACAATTGCCTGGTGATCACTTGCAGAGTAGTCCTCGGAGACACGCCAGTCAGAAATCCGATTGGCTAGGCCTTCAAATGCCAGTGAGATGTCAGGGATGGTCTCTCCATATCCAGGGCGACGGAAAGTGGAGACATTGCCCACGTTCAGAACATGAAGACCCAGCCTGGCTGCCATCTCTAAAACATATCGTCCCCTTGTGTTTGTTTGGGGTGAACCCCATTCCACCGCCCTAGCGTTGAAATCTCCGCAAACAATCACCCCACCATCGACGTTCAGGATCCCGTCCTCTAGAGAGTCGACCATCTGGCGGTACTCTGCTATGGGCTGGTTAGGTGTAAGGTAGCAGGAGAAGAAAGTTAAACCTCTGCTTCGCACCCACACGAAACCGTTTCCCGCACCGGAATCTAAGATAGGTACCTTCCCGGGGTCAAGGACCCAGATGGCCGCCGTCCCAGAAACATCAGGAAACCACTGAGGAGAGCGTCAGTTCTGATATTGCTCACTCAGCAGCAAAATATCGGCGCCTTGCTCGGTTGCGAATTGGTGCAGCAGACCGTCAGCTGTCCTGCTCCTTTGCATGTTAAGCTGAAGGGCACTTATCATTTCTGGGTGGATTGGCGGATCTTGTGCAGTGCTTGCTTATAAGCAGCACAACGGCTTGATCCCGCAGCGTGCTTTATGGCATCGTTCTTCAAGCCGGCCTCTGTGCACAGGACGCAAGATTCAGCGGAACTGCATACATTGGCCCTGTGATTTTGGCCGCCGCACTTGTAGCACATATTGCTTCTGTCGGGACCTTTGCAGCGATTAGCTATGTGGTTAAACCCCAGGCATTTATAACACCTTGGGGCTACGAGCTTCTCGCGGACCCGGCATCTCACCCATCCGACCTTTATGAGCCTTTCAGCTAGGAGTTTTCTCCCATCTCTAGCTCCCAACGTCAATATCGCCATCTTCTGCCCTCAAGAGTTGGCCTTTGAGACAAAGATCTTCATCTCACTGGGTTCCCCGAGAACAGACTTAACTGCAGTGGAGACCTCTTCCTCAGTCGTGAGTTCGTCGAGATCCCTCACTTCCAATGTCGACTTAGGCTCAAGAATTCGCACCAAGGATGCAAATCGGCCCCGAATTCTGCCTTCGTCCCGGAGGAATCCCCAAGCTCTACGAGGAGATCACCAGCTCTAGTTTTTCTGAGCGATTTGATAACAGCTCCCTTCTCTTCGGGCTTCACCTTTTGACGTATCTCACCAAGCACGTCAGCGTATGTCTTTCCGCTTCTCGGCTTGATTAGAAGAGCGTCAGGGCGTTGTTTAGAGGCTCTCTTTTTCTTGGGCTTCTTTGTCGTTTTGTCACCAGGCTGGACAACAGACTGCTGAGGAGGGTTCTTCTGCCTGCCCTTCCGTTTCGCAACCGTCACCCACTCTCCTGGTTTGTTTCCGTCGACCTTCTTTTTCTTCTCGGTCACAGGTTCAGCTGGGCTTGAGGCGGCTCGCTTAGAGCTGGCCGCAGTTGAGGACTGAGACGTCTGTTATCGTGGCGAGGTCTGCGTTGATGAAGAGACGAGGGTCTTTTCACACGACTTTCAAGACTTGCGGAGATGGAGGATGTGGTTAAGATAGGACTCCAGCTTGGTAATCCCAGTCTTAACGTCTTGGTTCACATTCCTCTGTCTGCGTGTCGCTGACTTCATCTGACTGAGAGTGTCAAAACACTTTGTCAGGAGGTCCTCCTCTTCCTGCCTGGCCAGTGCGATAACGGCCTCGTATGGCGAGGTCGTTTTCTCACTTCCCTGCTCTGGCAGAGTTTCCGAGAGCGGCGATGGATCGGAACTCGGAGTGAAAGGACGGGCGCGAACAGGGGAGCGACTCAAACGTGAGCTCCTCCTGAACGGGTCGAAATCCACTTCAGGTGTCGTTTCTGCCTTTTTTTTTGGGTTAGGGAACCCGAAGTTTTTTCTTGCACAATTGGAACGTTTTCTTTTTGCTTGTCTGCCATATTTTCAAATGTTTCCCCCCCTATGCTGTGCCCTCGTGAGAATGTCACCCTGGTTCACCTCATGCACGGCTGTACTCCATGTCCTGCGCCCCCCGAAACCCAGAACGCTCCAGAAAAGGCAGTGGCCTCGGCAGAGCCCCCCCAAAACCGCAGCAGGGCCCTATCCGGTCGCCATCCGGCACTACTACGGCCAAAGAGATTTTCGCCGGATGATAGGGCAGCCAGGTCATTGCCGGCTAAGCTGACCCGGGCCCCTGTACTATCCGGCAGCCTGGGATGTGCAAGAAAGACCCAGTTTTTAAGCTGTACCCTCTACCTGAACGGACGTCCAACGCATCGGGGGACCGCAGGACACGGAGCCATACACAACAATAGACCAGGGTGATTTGGAAAAAGAAAATTGGTTTATTGATTTTAAGCAGGAAATGTTGGTTTGCAGAGGAGACGCTAAAAGAATTGGTGCGCTCCCCCCCCTTTTAGTCGACTCTTACGACGAGCAGGGGATACTGCGGTCTATTCTAATGCCGGAGCCGCACAGCGAAGAGATCTTTGATTAAAAGCTCCTTTTTACACTGATTAAAAGAAGTTAAATATTGACTCACAATTGCTCACTTTACACCGGTTGACATTTTCATTAACAACAGTGCACAAAAAACAAACAATTAATTTTAACAAGACTGTAAGAAAGATGCAACAACAATGTTTACTAAGTTGTAGTTGTAAGTATAGTGGTATGTTAAACCCCAAAAAAACCATCATGAAATTAACATTAAGGTTGTGATAAGAAAATTTATGTTTACTTGAAAGATTTTGCTAGCTGATTTTTTTACTCAGTATTTTTTGCTACTTACATTTTCAGTATCATTGTCGCTGCTATCGCTAGAGCTATCTTGAGCCGGCGCAGTGAAGTTATTGGTTGCAAGCCGCAGCTTCTCCAGCAGATCTTGGTGTCGCTTCAACTCTTCGCACGCTTTGTTCCACGATGATGTCTTTTTTACCTGCACACAGGACAACAAACAGGATGACCTCAAGAAACTAAACAGGCAAGTAAACAAACTAAATTTTCAAACATATATTCTCTGACTGTTTAACAGAATACAATCTCAAATACCCCTGCCGCAGCAAACCTGCCGACTAAGCGAATTTCCATTTGTCTGAATTGATTTTCAGTTAAATATATTTTAATAACATTAGGTTTAACGAGTACCTAGGTTTGCTGCTACAAGGAAACTAATAAAGTGTGTTTTTGAGTAAAATATTGATAGCTTAGTAAAAAATAAATAAATTTGCCAAGTTTGATCAAAATATATTCATAAACAAGCAAACTACAACATTTGACAATATTCTCCATAAGAATAACATGGGAATTTTAAATTTACAATTTTTTAAATTTTCTCCGTTACTAATAATCGAACAAAAATACTTTTATATACTAAATTATTTGTTTTTTTAAGCTCTTTAAAAAGGTCTAAAGAAAAATTGGGAAATTTTGTGTTTTGAGGGTCAAAAGTGAGAAAAGCCAATTTTTACCCCATAAAACCCACCGTAAAGCCCCGTTCCCATGGTCCGATCGTGGTGGTTCGCGAACTCATTCAAGTTTATCACGCTTTACACCTTTAAACCAAATTTCATCAAAATCGGACAAAAATTACTCAAGTTATCGCGTTCACGGACGTATATATATATATATATATATATATATGTCTATATATATATATATACATATATAAAAATTTGAACGAATAGTGTTTTTGGCCTCTGGGGACATCAAAATGAAAAAGTAAATCGGTCCCGGGTCTAGGTCTTACCGTGCCACCTACGGTAATAGCTACTTCCCTATAGGGAAATTCGCTAAAACAAGAAAAATGTTGTAAGAATGTGGTGAAAATTTCTAAGAACAATTATTAACACTGTTGACTTATTAAGAGTCCCTGAAGCTGATTTATCTATTGTCAAAGACAGCCATTCATGTAAGGCAAAATATTGAAGTGAATTTTCACCTGTGTCAGTCAGTGGAAGAGGAGGCTAAAATTGTCTTAGGTCTAAATAACACAAAATCTTGTGGATGGGATGACATTCCAGTTCATTTATTAAAATTGTCTGTTCAAGTGATAAGTCCTATTTTAACTTATATTTTTAATCTAGCTATTAGAACTTGTACCTTTCCGACTAAGCTGAAGCTGTCAGAGATAAAACCAATTTTTAACAAAGGAATAAAAAATGACATTCAAAATTTCTGACCTATATATCTTTACTTAGTACTGTAATATATAAAAGATTTTTCAAAAAGCTCTTCATACTAGAATTGTTTATTTTCTTGAAAGTAATAATCTGCTTGGGGCTGAACCTTTTGGGTTTAGGAAAAATAGAAGTAACGAATTGGCTTTGATAAACTTTGTGAGCGATTCAGCGAGGGCCTTGGATGGGTCACAGTTTACTGCGGAGATTTTCTGTGACCTGTCCAGGGTTTTTGACTGTGTGGATCAACAGATGCTGCTAAAAAAATGGCCAGTATTGGTATTGAGGAGTCGGCTCTTAAGCTATTAACATCATATCTTTTGGGGGAGAAAGCAGAGAACAGTTATCAGTGAGAGGGCAACCCGTTTTTACTCGGACTGGGTTGCAGTAAAATTTGGCGTCCCTCAAGGATCCATTTTAGGACCCACACTCTTTCTTATATGTATAAATGACCTACCAGCACATATTTCCAACAGGTTCGTACTATTCGCTGATGTTTACAAGTGTAATAGTTCAGGAAAAAACCTGTCTGCATTAGAAAACACTTTGAAATTAACACTAAAAGATCTGAAGAGATGGTTTGAATCAAATGGACTTTTACTAAATGAATGCAAATCTAACATTATGCAATTCCACATCAGAATTAACAATAAAAAAAAACTCAATGGAACGAATTTTAAAGTCACTGATAATTATAAATTTCTTGGGATTAAATATAGATCAAAGTTTCAATTGGAAATCACACATTCAATATTTGGTTAGTAAGTTGACTTCTTTTAGGTTTGCAATTAAATGTAGGCTATTCAAAATTCAGTGTCACTAGCAACATTAAAAATTATTTATTATGCTTATATACGCTCTCTGCTTTGTTATGAAATTGTTCTGTGGGGAAACTCAGGGGATATTAGTAAAGTTTTTAAAGTCCAAAAAATTATTATTAGAGTGATGATAGGGGGCAGAATATGGATCAAGCTGTTGTCGTTCTTTTAAGGAATTAAAAATAGTGCCATTGACTTCTTTGTACATCTATGAAACAGTAAATTTTGTTCATTTAAATAATACACTTTTTGATTAATTTAGACCCACTCATAGTTATAATACCCGAAACTCAAATCTGCTAAATTATCCAATTCATAAACACTCTAATTTTGAAAAAAAACCCCATCTATATGGGGATTTCTCTATATAATAAGATCCCCTCAAAAATAAAATGCTATACACCACAAAAAATTTAAATTTGGACTAAAGCATTATTGGTGGAGAAATCATATTACTTCCTGGCAGATTTCCTAAATGACCGTGACATTAATTGACCATTAGTTTATGTGAAATATGACACAGAATGTTTTTAATTGTTGTTTTTCTCTTATATTGCTTCAAGATCTTAATTTAAATTTGTCTTATTTCTAACTTTCTTTCAATTGTTCTTTTCTTGTTGTATTTTGTTGTAACTTTTTAGTTTTAGTTTTTATGACTTAATGATTGACCATGCATCTGTTCACCATTGCCTTAAACATAAAAAAGAAGGAATTTTTGGATTTCGGTCGTAGTTTGAATAACCTACTTGAAATGTCTTATGAATAACCCACAATTGTATTATGAAAAGTAAATAAATGAAGTAAACTGAGCTACCATGAATGATAAAGCAATCACCAATTCTGTTATGGATATTTTGTTAACATACAACTAAATAGCAGCAGCCCACACAATAAAAAAAAGTATAACGTCTGCATAGATAAAAACCTACATTATAAAATACACTTGTTTATGAAGTTATAGTCTGTATGGTGGAATCTGTCTCCTGACCTTTCCCCTACCTGGGGTTTAGGGCCCGAGCCAGCCCACACAGGGAGTACAGGCAGGGCTATTATGTGTTGTTTGGATACCTAATAAAAAGCAATAGATAAATTAAGTTTCTAAAAAAAATTACTAACTCTCGTTAGAGTATTTTTTGAAGGAAAAAAGTAACTTGGCTTTAAGAACTTGTTTAGCAGAAAGGAAGGATACACAACTAGCACACCTGAAGAATGAGACCCAGGAAGTTAAAAGTAAACAAAAAATGACATTTAAACAGATATTTTGATCCTTCAGAGTTATGTATACAAGTGAAGTGTTGGCAAGCCTGGCAGACGTTAAAACAATGCTAGAACTGTAACTGCCACTCTACCTCTGAAGAAGCCCCTGAAAGGGGCGAAATATGAGTATAAATGTATTTCTTTTTTGTCTACTTTTATCTTCCTGGGACTCTTTTTTCAGGCAAGTTAGTTGTTTATCCTGCCTTTCTCCTTAACTAACTCTTGTAGGAGCAATTAAGTAATGAAAATTGGCAAATTTCATGAGATAAATCTATAAACGAACAAAATTGTTGGAAGCACTGTTCCAGACACTTTCACCATCATCTGCTGCAAAATAGCTGCCCAATAAGTTATATAAGGACTGTATTAATGGGGGATTACTGAATAGTATTTAATATTTAATACATATGAACAAGTAGCTAATTTCCTTGAAATGATTTACACAATTAAAGGCAGCCTTGAAATGATCTACACAATTAAAAGCAAAATTGAAGGAAATTCAAGCAGCTAAAAAAAATTCAGACCAGGTAAAATGCCATGTATTTGTTTTTACGATGATTACTGACTTGAGATTTAAATCAAAATAAAGTGTGATATAACAGTATGTTACCAGACAACAAAAATCCTCTACAAAATCCTCCTGTTGTAATGCAATATGGTAGAACTCAAACCATCCCAACCAATTGGGAATTACCACATTCAGATAATCACAAATTTGGATAGTTGGACTTTTACCATAGATGAAGTAATATAATGAGATAGGCAGCCATATGGAGTTTATCGTGGGCGTTTTTATAGCCTAGTAGTGTGCTGCTCCTAGCGGCAATATCGAGCCCTACAATCTGCGTTACCAACGGAAGCGCAAACAATGGCATTGTTTCCCATTGTACATGCCCAACGCAACTTCGAGAGCCCGCTTCCCGGCTCATGGATAAAGTTTACTGTGTCTGTTGCTTGATTTTTTAACCTCGCAGTGTGCGTGTTAGCGTTAAAAAATGTTATTACTCCATTTATATTATTAAATTAATAAATATTTAATACCTATACTAGTGGATATTATGTGAATGAAGTATTATTTTAATGTTAGACCTAATTAATTAATTTTAATATTAGGCCTAACTGAATTAGTATGCTATATTTATTGTACGCATGAAATGTTAACGAACTACAGTATATACAATTTATTTGATATTCTGTTATAATTTATAATACTGTATTAATAATAATGTTATAATAACATTTAATTATTTACTTGGTTGAGACGCAACAAAACTCTGTTTACCTTTGTTTGTTTACTTTTCTAGTTAAAAATTCAGAATGTCCATACGTTTTATTTTCATTTCCACCTAACCAAATTTAGATTTCTAGCGAATTTCCCTATAAGGAAGTTACTTACCCTATAAGGTAGGACTTAGGCCCGGGACCGATTAACATTTTAATTTTTATGTCCACAGAGGCTAAAAACACTATTGATTCAAATTGTTATATGCATTTCTTTGTACATGAACGCGATTAATTTTGTCCTGATTTTCATGGAATTTGGGTTAAAGGTTTAGGGCGTGAGAAACTCAATGAGATTGAGTTTCAATTCCAAAAATTGTAAATTTAAAATTCGTATGTCATTAAGTAAACTGTTGCAGTTTGCTTGTTTATGGATATAATATGTTGCCCAACATTTTGAAAAT